GCTTCATCTAACCTGATGTTGATTCCTTCTAGTCTGTTCTTCCCTGCAGTTATTGTATTCTTCAGTTCTGATTAGCTCTTGTTTCTGTTTTCCATCTCCTTATGTTTTTGTATCTTTTTGAAGTTTTTCCTGAGTTCATCTGTTCTTTCAAGTTCATTGCATACTGTTATATGCAGTGTTTTGAACTCTGCATCTGGTAAATTGACATCATTTTGTTTAGTTCTTCTGGAGTTTTGCCTGCTCTTTTATTTGGGACAGGTTTGTTTGTCTCCTCATTTGGCTGACCTCTGTGTTTGTAACTATGTTTTAGGTAGATATGCTGTGTGTCCTGGTCTTGACAGAGTAGCCTTATGCCCAAAGTGCCCTGTGGGGCACAGTGACAGTCTTTCTGGTCACCTGAGCCAGTTGCTCCAGGGGTTTTCCCTGTGTGGGTTGTGTGTACCCTCCTGTTGTAGTTGTGCCTTGATTGCTGCAGGCAAGTCATTTGGTGGTGTTTACTCTCTGGCTGACTGGCTGTGAGGGCTGGATGTAACTACAGCAGACTAATTGCTGACCCCCACAGATCGGTTGTTGCTTCAGCATGGCTGTGGTGCCAGCTGAAGCTGCCCTTTGGGTACACCATTTGTGGAACTGGTTGGGTGGTGCTCTGGTGTGGCATGAAGCCATCCACTAGGTTTGTTGAGGCTGGAGCCTCTTGAGAGGGACTCTGGTGCAGGCCAAGGTGAGCCACCACTTATGCTAGGCTTGATGCCTCTTGGTAAAAACTGTAAAGTGATCTGCGGTTGCTTGTACTGGGCTTGGAGGTGTCTGGGAGAGGCTGTACTGCAAACCGAGGCTGCCTGCCTTTTGTGCCATGATTGGGACACTTTACTGTGCCCTACTGATGCAAGCTGAGATCGGCTGCCACTTGTGCTTGGCTTATGGCCTCTTAGTTGGAACTACATTACAGGCTAAGACTGGTTTCCACCTATGCCAGGCTTGGGGCCATCTGATGGGAATTAGAATGCAAATCGAGATTGGTTTCTGTTGGTACTAGGCTTGGGGCCGCTTGGGAAGAGCTACAATGCATGCTGAGGACCCGGCTGCTGCTTATACAGGGTTTGCGGAACTTTGGGGAAGTCTGCAGGGCAAGCCTAGGACAGCCACCACTTGTGTGAGGTTTGCAGATTGTGAGGAAAGTCTGCAGTGCAAGCCAGGGCAGGCTGCTTATGTGGAGGAGCTGTCTGAAGAGGCAAGGGCCCTGTGAGCAACTTGGGTGGGGTCTTAGGATGATCAGGGCAGAGGGAAAATATTAGTTTTATGGAGAGCACAGATTTGGTGCCCACATACACAGGGCTGGATGGGTGGGAAGAGAGATAACCAAGGAACAATGGTGTCTGCCAGCACATCCGTCCTTAGTGAGAGTTGTCCTGACCCCTGCCCCCCCAGCCCTCACCCTCAAGTTAGTTCATTCATCTCTTCCCAGTATGTGTCTGGCACTGTTCGCGTTGTGGCCACTGTACTAGCTTAAAGAGTAAGTTTGTGAGCGAGTCTATGTGTGTTCCCTTTAAGAGCAGCGCCTTTGTCTCTAGCAGCCCCTTGTCTTTGGACACTATCCCAGCTGGTTTGCACAGCCAGATATGGGAAGTCCCGTGTGGGGCTGTGACACCTCGTCCCTCTGGGTGGACCTCCGTAGCCAACATATCCCTCCCATTTCGTAAATCCACACCATGGGTGCAGGACCTGCCATGTCCAAGTATCCACCCCTCCTACAGTCTTGATGTGGCTGCTTCTCTGTATCTTTGATTATAACAGTATGTTCAGCTAGACTTCAAGAGGTTCTCAGTGGTTCTATAATTTAGTTGTAATTTTGGTGTGATCTTGAGAGGAGTCAAGCTCAGAGTTGACCTACTTTGCCACCGTGACCAGAGTTCTCTTTCTCTGTTTTATTTTTTTCTATTTGCTAGTGCAATTGGGTGATTCCACTTTGTCTTCCAGCTCACAGACTTGTTCTTCTGCATCAACTAATCTGCTCTTGGTTCCCTCTGGTGTATTTTTCATTTCAGTTATTGTTCAATTCTGATTGGTTTTATTTTATATTTTCTTTTTGCTGCTGTTCTGAGTTCATCTATTCTTCCAAGTTTTGGGGGCATCCTTATCAGTGTTTGATGTCTTTATCTAGTAGACTGCTTTTTCCTGTTTTTCTGGGGTCTTATCTTGATCTTTTGTTTAAAACATATTTTTTGGTCTCATTTTGGTTCTTTCTTGGTGTTTGTTTCTATGAATTAGGCAAAACAGCAACCTCTCCCAGTGTTGCAGGAGTAGCCTTGTGTAGGAGCTTCCCCTTTGTAAACTGCATGGTTGGTGTCTTTGGCGGGGCAGCTGGAGTTGGAGCGTGCGTGTGCTGTAGGGAGACTCAGGGTCAATCTGCACCAGGGTTGTCTTGGCCAACTGGTTGGAGTTGGAGCGGGTACAGTCTACAGGGAGTCCCAGGGGCAAGCTATTTGGGGCTGCCTTGGCAGATGAGCTGGGGCTACATACAGTTGGAGCCAGCTCAGGCCACAGGGGTCCTGGGGTCCAGCCTCCCTGGGGCCATGTTGGCTGGCTGGCTGGCTGGCTGGAGCTGTAGTTAGACGCTCTAGGGCTGTGGAGAGTCCCAGGGGCAAGCCGCACCGGGGCCTGGAGCTTTAGTTGTAGTGGGTGCTTGCCTCAGGGAGACCCAGGGGCAGTCCTCGCTAGGAGTACCTTGGCAGGCCGGTTGGGGCTGTAGCTGGCATGGTCTGTGGAAGTCCCAGGGACAAGCCATATATAACGGAGTGGGAGCTGTAGTTAGAGCATGTGAGAGCCTTGGGAAGTTACAGGGACAAACTGTGCTGGAGTCACCTTTGCAGGCCAGCTGGAAACGCTGTAGTTGGGGAAGGCCGCTGGGAGACCTAGGGACAAGCCAAGGAGATGGTGTGGGACTGACAGCGTTGGCTGCCTTGCTAGAGTGTTTGGATCATGGTCCTGCCCATGTGATCGAGGGGGAGGGCACCAGTTGGTGCTCTGTGGTGTCTCTGACACTGGAGAGAGTTCCCACAGTTCCCCTCCTTTTTGGCAGATAGTGTGCCTTTTAAATCAGCTTTTTCACCATGTCCCAGGGCAGGTGTCTGCATGTGGGCCCTTCAGGAAAACCCTCCCTACTGCAGGTTGTTGTTGGGGGTGAGGTTCCCTCAATATCAGTACCATGTCTCTCTCTCCTGTTTGTGTGGTCTCTCTCTCATTTGTTGTGCAGAAGCTGTTCGGTCAGCCCTCAGTTCTTCCTCAGGGGGAATTGCTCTGTGGGTGTAAATTCGATGTGTTCGTGGAGGTGAGTTTAAGGTGTTTCTATGCCCCATCTTGTACCAGAAACCGATATTTTACTTTTCATTCATTCATAATTTAACTAGTGTGCCATACTGTGGAACGGTGGCTGTTCCTATGGCTAGATACATCACTGGCCACTCTTTTCTTACTAGTTCCTCCTGGTTCTCTGGCCTTGGACCTGGTCTCATTCCGGCCCTTGGCTTTAAATACAGTGTCACACTGATGAGTTTATATCTTGTTTGACCCTCTTCCCTAAGCTTTGGGCTTTATATATTTCTTAGTCCATTCTAATAGGCATCTTCCGCATAACAGGTCCAAGTCCAAACTCCTGCACTCTCCTTCCTGCCCCCAAACCATTCTCTCAGCAGCCATTCCCACCTCAGTCAATGGCAGCTCGATCTTCCACATGTTTAAGGCAGAAATAAGTCATCGTTGGCTTTTCCCCCTCATACTCCACATCCGGTACTTCAAATCCTATTGGTGCTGCCATGTAACTGGAGTATTATCCCACATGGCCCACCTCTGCTGCTGGCACCGTTCATCCCTCTCGCAGTAGCCTCTCAACTTCCCCTCTTGTCCCTGTAGTCTATTCTCAGGGCAGCCAGAGGAACCTGGCCAAAACAGTAAGTCCCTTCTGGGAAATCTGTGATCTCTTATTTCACCAAGAGTAAAATACAGAGGTCTTAAAATGGCCACAGACTCTGTAAGATCCGGCTCCCTGTTTCTTTTCTGATTTCATTTCCTGCTACTCTGCTCATTTATTCCTGGCACACTGGTCTCCTCACCCACTCCTCAGACATGCCAGGTGTCCTGCCAGCCACCCCTTCTGTATTCCACCATCTCCTCCACCTCTGCATTGGCCTCCCTACTGCCTGGAATGCTCTGTCCCGGGTGATTCCTGTCACTGCCCTTGGGTCTTCACCCAGATGTTACTTTCTCATGACCATCATAGCTAACATTGCATTTCAACTCTGTATTCTCTATCCTTCTTCACTTTTTCTTTCTTTCCCTGCCAAGGACATGTTTTCATTGATTTTGAGGGAGAGAGAGAAATGTCAGTTGCCTACTGTACACACCCCGACTGGGGATCGAATCTGCAACCTGGGTATGTAATCTGATCAGGAATCAAACCCTGCAACCTTCTGGTGTAGGGGATAATGCTCCAACCAATTGAGCCACCCAGCCAGGGCTACTGGTTTTTTCCTGTTTTTTTCTATAATACCATCTGACATATTTATATTCTATTGTCAGTCTACTCCCACTAGATTGAAGGCAGGGATTTTTTTTTTTAATCCCCACCTGAGGGTATTTTTTCCATTGCTTTTTCAGAAAGAGTGGAAGGAAGAGAGTGGTGGCGGGGGGAGAGAGAGGAACATCAACATGAGAGACACACGACATATAGATTGGTTGTCTTCCACATGCCGCCCGACCTGGGCCGGGGATCGAGCCTACAAGTGAGGTACATGCCGTTGGCCAGAATCGAACCCCAAGCCCTCAGTCCATGGACTGACGGCTCTAACCACTGATCAACCAGCTAGAATGAAGGCAGGGATTTGTGTTTTGTTTATTGCTGTATTCCCACTATATGAAATAACACTTGGTACATAGAAGGCAGTCAGTAAACACTGTTAGAATTTTTATTGTATTGTGAAAGAAATTCTAATTTTGCTCTTCAGGTTTATCTCTAACAAGTACTTGGTGAAGCGGCAGAGCAGGGACTATGATGTGGAGTGGGGCTATGCCTTCGACGTGCATTTGAACGCGTTTTACCCTCTCCTAGTCATTCTGCATTTCATCCAGCTTTTGTTCATCAACCGTAAGTAGCAGTTCTCAAAATATTTTCAAAAGGTCTTCATTGTATGCAATGAAAAGAGAGTAACTCTCTGAATTGTTGTCTCTTTGTGGCAGATGTCATCCTGACAGACACATTTATTGGATATTTGGTTGGAAATACCTTGTGGTTGATTGCTATTGGTTATTACATCTATATAACCTTCCTGGGATACAGTGGTAAGTAATTAATTTTTTTGATTGACTGAAAACATAAAAGGGGAAAGTTGTAGCAGTAATATAGTTAGCTTACTTTTATTGAGCCCTTGTAGGCACTGTCCCAAGTGTTTGATATTTTTTCAGTTTATCTTCCTAATTATATAATACAGGTTTACTTACCCCATTTTTCAAATGAGGAAACGAGCACAAAGGCATTAAGTAACATGGTCTGGTCACACATCTCAAAAGTGGCATAGCTGGTATGTAACAAATTTAATCATTTCAAGGAACCACGTAAACCATATTATCTCCATGTTACCCCAAGAACCCGTGACCGGGTTCCTCTTTCTCCAGGCTTTCGGGTTTGAGTCCCCAGTGGTAGGTTAGAGAGAGGAAAGGGTTGGTCAGATGAATGGGCACATAGGCATATGAACTTCAGTGTTTAAAACCTTTGCCTCGCCCGGCCAGCATGGCTCAGTGGTTGAGCATCGACCTATGATACAGAAGGTCGATTCCTGGTCAGGGCACATGCCCAGGTTTTGGGCTCAATCCCCAGTAGGGGGTGTGCAGGAGGCAGCCAATCAATGACTCATCATTGATGTTTCTCTCCCCCTCTCCCTTCCTCTCTCTGAAATCAATATTTTTATTTATTTTTGAACCTTTGCCTCATTTTCCATTTTTATATAATCACTATATGGCCTGTAGATGATCCCAGATTAGGCCCAGCTTCTACTGACCTGATGATATTTTGCAAATTTATTGTTAAATCCTGCTGTCAGTTCATTTTCCTTAATGAGAAACATATTTACGTTATTCTTTAAGAAGTAATCTCCATTAAATAGAGCTAAATTAACCCTAGAGATTTCTCTTATAATTTATTCTTATGTACATTTTTAACCCTTTCTTGTCACTCTGGATGATTAGAACCTTACTGTAAATGCAAACTTGCCCAGAACTGGTCCCACCCCCATGGCTGCTTTGCCAGAGACTTAATCCCCTCAAATTATAATACCTTGTGTGGGGTATTGGAAGTCCCTTCTCCAGTTCAGGGGAGCTGTGTGGCATGTCATACTGTGATTAGCATGCTGCAGCATTGTGCTTTCTCTGAGTGGGTTTTTGATCCCTCTCCTGGTAACTCCCTGTAGTTCAGCACACACGGGGTAGGAATGAGCAAGAAACAGACATGGCTGTTGATATTGGGGACAGATTCTGTTTGAGTTTCAGCTCTTTCCTAAAGCTTGGGATACCAGCTGAGATCTCGCCCTCAGTGAAGCTGTAACAATATCTACATTGGAAAATCAAAGAGCTGGAAGTGGTTTTTTTCCTATAACTTCATCCATCTCTGTTGGTACTTTAAGATGGACTTAGGGTTTCTGAAGCTGTCACAGTTTAAACTCACCACCAGTTCATAATATTTACGGTGTTTGTCCCTTGTTCTCAACCTGTCCTAGTCCTGGATTTGCTTCTCTCTCAGCCTTTGTGCTGAACTAACCCCTCTCCTAGGTTTCTTCACGGCCGTGAGGAAGGAAGCAAGCCAGAATAGCAAGATTAGCATGGTTTTGGCTGCATAGCATCATCTCACTGATTGAAAATGCGCGTTCCTCTTTGGCCCCACATGTAGTGAAGAGCTGTCTTTCAGAATGTTCATTTGTTAGTCATGTTTCCTCCTCTAAAAAATGAATTTGGTTTTATTTTCCAGCATTGCCATTTTTGAAAAATACAGTAATCCTCCTCTATCCATTTGCACCTCTCGTTCTGATCTACGGGCTGTCACTAGCACTAGGATGGAACTTCACCCACACACTGTGTTCCTTCTACAAGTACAGAGTGAAATGAAAAAAAAAGTGAGACATCTTAGCTGTTTCAACAGTATTGGGGAAGTGATTTCTTATGAAACTTGTAAGTAAACTCTTATTGTAGATATCTTAAAGGTGTAAATAAAGTTTGTGAATTTGAGGAAATATATGTTAACACTATTGTCAAATACATTCCTTAAAACTAAATGTACATTTCTATAATAAATATTTTTTAAACTAAAGCATGCATTTTATTCATTCTAATATTTGCATGCACAAGGATGATATACAAAATACTGAAGGGATGAGGAAATTAGGTAAAACTTTTTAACATGAATTCTTTTTGAAAGAGCTTCTTTTTGGAGAACATGGTAATCATCATATGCTCCCCCTCCCCCCACTTACTGACAAGGCACTTACTCAGCCTCCATTTCCTAAGGGGCTGTACTTTAAACATTTACAGAGGGCATATCATCTCAGTGTAACCTTCAGGCCCTAAATATCTTTAACAGCATTTTCTCTACAAAAAGCCAAACCAGCCCAGGCCGGCGTGGCTCAGTGGTTAAGGCGCATGTGGGAGGCAACCAATCAATGTTCTGTCCCCTTGCCCCGGTCCCTTCCAATCTCTCAAATCAATGGAAAAAGAATATCCTTACTCCTTGGGTGAGAATGAAAACGATAAATCAAAGAGTGAAGAGGCCCATGGTGGCTCCTCTTAATTTGGGAGCTCTGTAGTGCACATATATGAGTATCTGCATCACACTGATAACCACTGTCTCAACATCAAAGCTTTTTTCTTTAAGGATTTTCTAAAACCCACATAGAAGATCCACTGCTGTTTTCTAACTGAAAATAGTTCGTGTATAACTGTATCAGTGTTAAAAAAAATAAAATAAAGAACTTGCTTTTCATGAAGTCTTACCTATTTTTATTAGAAGGAATCTTGAATTCAGCATGGCTTTTAAACTTCTTTATTTCAAACACACATGAACAGCTGTAGCACAGACAAACAGGGATGCAAGGCACAGTCAACAGGACCAGCTATTAGGTTATAGCAGCAAATTTGAAAATAATCTTCCTTTGAAAATCTAACAGGCACCTAAAACATTACTACAGATATTACCCCTCCAACCACTGAAGACATTGCAAGGAAATCTGTACAATACATTGAGGAGAAAAAAAATTAGTACGACCCGGGGAAGCGACGCCTCAGGCAGCTTCTCCAAGGGGTACTTCCAGAAGCATCCCAGATGCGAACACCACCTTTCCCAAGTGTTCCCAGTGAGAAACACTTCAGCTTCTCATTCCATAAATGAAATGTGATTATTATGTTTAATCAGCTTATTTCTAAATCTCCTAGAAAACATTACTGTCTGTACTTAAATGAACAGTATCACATCTGCTGGTGGTGCATCTACAGTACTGGCGGTATCAGCCATTTTTAAGGCTCAGAAAATGTATTCAAAAGATGTTTTCGTCCAATTTTGGCAAACACTGAGCATTCCCAATAAATCATGAGATGCTAATCACACTAGCATACCGAACCTTTGACTCCAGGGCAGTTACTAATTACTAAACCATGGAACAGCTGGCAGCACGTGACAAATAAAGTAGCTTCCCTAATGCCTGAGGGGACTCCCCATGACGGACAGTCCTAATTTTAGCACACAACTCAATGTTTTTGCTACAACATTACAACACTGGAATAGCACAAAGTATAGGCCATTCAACACACTCAGTTTACTTTCTTGAACAATGTCTTACAATTCTCAACGCAAATGCACTGTGGAGCGAGTGCCAGCTTGTGGTCTGCTCCTTTGAAGGTGATCTAGTTAGTGTCCACACGTCGGGGGAGTTTCACCGAGAAGAGTTTATATATAGGTATTGATGATATGGACATAGTAACAAACCCTCTTTTCAAAAAATACAATACTGTGGTAATAGTCTTAGCAGTACTGAATGTCCACATGCATTAAAGAAATAAAGCATACTAGTTATCGTGGCATATGTCTGTTAAGATTAATAATCAAAATTTACAACAAACTAAATTTTACACTATAATACTTATACATAGCTTAGAAAAGTTTCCTTTTCTATAAAAGAGAGAGATGGGATATAGAAGTTCCCTTAAAACACTAAGGTGTTTATGACCCCAACTGCTGAACTCTGACAGTGTTAGCCTCTCATTTTTTCCTTCAGCTATATTTCACTTACATCATCGCTATGTATGGCATTATAGTAAAAACAAGCACAAAAGTGACTGGACAAACCAAAATTAAAAACTTCATTAGCAATTAATGGCTTGGAAGCAGAGGTATTTTGGATAATCACAAAGTACAAAAATGTGGTTGGCACATACAGGATCTGATAGGTGCTTAGACAATAAATTTTGGTTTGAAAAAAATACTTCAGTACAAAGTAGATTATATGATCTACATAAAGGCAGAGAGTTTTTCCTCGTAATTTAATATCTTATTTAAAATACTGTTCATCATCCTTAAACACACGGACAGGCTCAGAGCAGACTAAATGGGCATAAAGTTAATACTTCTGCCAGGAGAGATTCCTTATATATGTTTGGATCCTACTAGCAGTTCCTTTAGAAACACTAAGATGCTGTCAGTTTTTGTCAACAAACTCCCAATGAAGATAGATCTCTGGCACAGAAACCCCAGATGAGGCCCAGGTATAGGATTTGCTACTAAGACGACTCATGCATTTGTCCAGAAATATCACCATACTAGAGGGAACCTGTATGAAGACTTTCCCTCCTCACCTTTTAAATGCTGCCTTCATCTTTCATTGCTACACAACACATCACAAATTTAGGAACTCACTTTGTATCACAGGGGTCCCGGCAGGCCCGAGTGCTCTGCTCAGGGTCTCGGGCTGGAATCAAGGTGTCGGCAGGCCGGGCTCTCATCTGCTGCAGGAGAATCCACTTGCCCACTCGTTCAGGTTGTTGGCTGTGTTCAGTTCCTGTGGCTGTGCAGGTGCCTTTCCCTCGGCTGCCAGCTGACGTCTAGGCTTAAGGCCACCTGCATTTCTTGTTATGTGGCCTCCATCTTAAACAGCAAGTGATGTCTCCTCATGCTGTGAATCTCTAACTTCTGCTACCAGCCTGAGGAAACTCTGCTTGAAGGGCTCACATGATTAATAACACCTGATTCTTTAGTGGCACAACCACTGACTTGAAAAGCCATACCTTTGCTCAAAGACATCTCCAATGGCTGAGTTAATATACACATGCTTCTATATAATGGACGTGTGTGTGCTAAATAACCCATTGCACTCACTTTGCCAAAGCTTTTCAATCTCGCTACCTCACATCATTGCTCTTTTTGTCTGGAGTGGTACAGGGCATGCTGTAAAGAACAGAGTCTTAGGACAAACAACACAGAAATCCTGGCTCTTAGAATCCTAGAAATAGGTCCTTGGCCCCTTCTCACTCAAAATATTCATCATTTGCACTATGATATATTCTGCATGTCTACTTTTAACCTAATAATCAAAATTCATTATTCTGGTTTCTAAAATGTTCATCTTAGCAAGCTCGACACACTGCTCGCCAAAAGAGCTTTGTGCCATGAAGGAAACATTCTGTATCCTTGCTGTCCGATGCAGTGGCCACCAGCCACGTGCAGCTAGTGAGCACTTCACTAGCTAGCAAAAGGGAGAAGGTGGATGTTTTATTAATTTAAAGAGTCACCATGTGTGTAGTGGTCACTATTTAGGAGAGTACAGCTCTTGACTAGTTTATGTGAAACCCACACCAAATGCTAAACCATGCCTTATTTATCTATATAAGTAGTCTTGCCATTTGATGCTTTCTCCAACTATTTTGGAAAAAGTGGTTCAATGGCCTCTCAAGATCAATAATTTACTTTCAGTTCCAGGACTCTTCACCTCTGACCTGTCCCAAGACCTCACTCATTAACTCAGCTCTTAGGACCACTATCACTTCCCGCTTGAGGAAAGCATGGCTGCTTCTGTCTAGTGTAGAGCTCAGGGGAAGGAGAGAGCAACTAAAAAGGAGACTATCTGAGCACCTGCTGCAGCGGAGCACAGGTAAGAAGTGTGAGTTATAGGCTTGCCCTCAGGGGCTTGAAGTTTGGTCAGAGAACACGTGCACACATATACACACTCCCCATAAACAATCGAAAACTCGAGAGCTGAGTGTGTGTGTAGGTGTGTGACAAGGACGGTAGGTGAAGGGAGTTGAGTGTGGGCTGAAACAGCTGGTCCCTCATCCAGACACTGCAGGGCACCTGCCATGTGCCAGGCACTACTGTAGGCACTACTGGGCACTGGTATCAGATTCACAGGGAGGGTGCACAAGAGAGGCCTTGAAAGGTGGACAAGATTTGGCTAAAAGTATTCTAAGGAACAGGAGGGATGAGCTAATCCTGGGAGGAGAGTGAGCAGGAAAACAGGAAAAGGTGCAGTCTAAAGCCCGAGACGCCCCAACCGATGGCATGGGGCTGCAATAACTGTCACCTTTGGATTTTCAGAGGACCGTTTTTCTCCTGTAATCAGAGTTGGCTGCTTAAGAAACAGGGAAACGAGGGGACTTCTAAACCTACCTGTAGGTTTTTACCTCCTGATACTTAGTTGTGATAGCAGTAATCAAGTGTGTTCAGCAAGTGCCAAATTTTATAATGAAAAGTTATTTTCAAATCTGCCTGTAGGCACTGGGCCAAGAAAATTTGAGAAAAAAATCAATAGTAAAATTTTTTAAATGAAAAAGTAAACGTAAAAACCCCAATAAAAAATTTTAACTGGAGTTTGACATAAAAATCATCAGCAACATGTGACATTTTAATCAAGAAAAGTAACTAAAAATGATTCTAATGTGTAGTAATGGAAATTCGATCAGTGCTTCCCAGCCCTTGTCACTTCTTAACTGCACAGAAAACAATGCTGTTGGGAAGCCATCTGCCCAGCACACCACGGAACCAGGCAAGCTCCTCCAGGCTCACAGCAGCCAGCGCAACCCCAGCCACCCAAGCCTCGGCCAGGGACACTGAAAGCTCGGGATCAATCACCACTACCTGTCACCCACCGGCAGCCCACCTGAGGCATGCCAGACTGGCTGGGGACTGATGCTGATAATTCAGAAAATTGTCAAGATCACTGATAATATTTGCGTTGTAGTATGTTTAAGAATAATAATCTTTTGGATATGAATTTACTTATAAATTCTAATACAATAGAATAAATCATTTTGGAAAAACATACAACTGCTGCAATACCTTTCACCAAAAACCAGTATTACAATTTTGTTTTTCTTTAATATTAAACTATTTATGACACACAATAGCATTATCTAGAAAACATTCTGTCAAAACTCATAAAATGAGTGCAAATATATAAGGATCGACATGAAAAGAGATAACGCATCTCACTCGCAGAATAAAGACAAAGATCCAAAGAGAGTCTGTCATTTACATATCGGAGGAGCTGTAATGAGCAGAATCTACGGTAACCCAGGCTCAGTGCATCACCCGCACATTACAATTTATCAGGCTGATTTTTTTTGTGGCTTTATACCATACACAGTATAGTAAAATAAGCCTCAAAAAGGATACTGGTTTTAAAATCTTGGCTTTAAGGAATGAGAAATACCTTTAATAATATTTTGTTCGAAATCAGTGATTACAGTAGTCCCCCCTTGTCCACAGGGGGATATGTTCCAAGACCCCCAGTAGATGCCTGAAACCACAGCTAGTACCAAACCCTCTATGTTGTTTTTTCCTGTACATACATACCTGTGATAAAATTTAAACATTAGGCACAGTAAGAGCTTAACAACTAATAATAAAAGAACAATTATAACCATATACTGTAATGAAAATTATATGAATGGTCTCTATCTCAAAATACCTATTGCACTGTACTGGCCCTCCTGACGGGAGATGACACGATGCCTGTGTGATGAGATGAAGTGACTCGGATACACTGGCAAAGGGATGACTCATGTCCCAGGCTGGCCAGACGGCACGAGCTTTCATCACACTACTCAGATTGGCACACAATTTAAAACTTATGAGTTGTTTATTTATGGAAATTTTCATTTAATTTTTTGGACCACAGTTGACTATGGGTAACTGAAACCACAGAAAGCAAAGCCGCAGATAAGGTGGGAGCTATTGTAAAAAAGTACTACAGTTAGGAGTTCAATCTAGAATCACTCTGAAATGGCAGTGCATTTGAAAAATGGCATTAACTTGTAATGTTTGCATTTCCAAAGGAAAATATAGAAAGAACTTAAAAAAGCAAGGTAACTGGTTTTCAAAAAAAGGATCGATTCAAAAATTTACTGCACAAAAATATGTACTTCTTAAAGTGTTTCTAATAAATTAACTCCATAACATTTTTTATATATTTATATATAATCCCTGATAATCTATAAAAGAGGGTCTATAATAGTAAAATAAATGAATTTCAAAAGTACCCCCTTCATAAAATGTATTTAACATTAATTTTTCTCAAATTTAAGGAATGTAACAATATGTACAACTCTTATGTATTAGTATAATACCTAAATAGTACAAGTCATATTAACAGGCTGTCGTAACTATAAAATGTCTGAGTCAAGTTAAAACTGGAGGACAGCTTAGGTTGGAATGAATGTATTATCCATGGGAGGTTCACTTTCCGAGCGGAAATGACAATCATCTACAGTAGATTTCACAAGAGGTAGTGTTCAAGTAAAAAAAAAAAGTACATGCTTCACTATCTTTAATCAACAAATATACAGCAAAAAATATGTTGGTCTCTTAGCTGATCACTTGGTGACTTTTTTAATATGAATCTGAAATACAAAATTGTGAAGAGCATGATGAGGCAATCAGTTTTTCATTTCCAAAAGGACTTAAACAGGTACTCAGAATGTAAAACACAGGGACTCTAAGCTGTTTCACGGATGTAATAGATGGTCTTACCTCATTAAGAATGGCCCAAACAGCAGAATTCTGAATAACTGAAAGTCGAAGGGCTGCAACGGGGTTCAGGCTGGGATCCACCATTCCTTCCGCAACGCCGTTCTCAAATTTTCCTTCAAAACAAAGATCACCACTTACGGGGTAGGCTGGCGCCAGCACACGGCAGAGGTCACTGACGTAAGGCAGGGAAGGAGGAGACCGAAAGATTTCTAGTGGAAGTTTTCGTGCAGGGCACAGGTGAGTTTTTTTCCTCCTCCCTATTTTTATTCAACTTAAAAATTTTTCATGAGGTAGTGCATGCTTTTAAAATAGAAGCAATCCATTTGAAGAGGCAGAGCTATATTTTTTCTTATTGTAAGTTAAAAACAAAATAAAAATGTATTTGTTCTTGCATTAACAGTGTTTTCACACTGGTTTTTAGCAAAATGTGACTTACTCATACCCTTACCAAAACAGACGGCCATCCCTCCCTCTAGCCACTCTGAGGGTTAAGTCAGTAACAGCAAGTTTCAGTGCTTTAATTAGACGTACATACAATGCTGGCCTTGAGCAGGGGCTCAATCTGTGTCTTCTTTCCAAGGTCACATCTAGTAGGAATTAAGAAGTGATACCTTCTCTAGAAATTACAATATAAAACTCCATTATAAATGACAAGCTGAAAAAGCTCTCCCATGAGGATGAGAGCCAAGAACTTCTATAAAAGGTAATCTGTACCCAATTTTTCTTTCTGAGAGGTAAGGAATAATATTCTTTTTAAAATAAAACCAAAAAATGCTATTGAAAATGTGACAGGAAAAATTTTTTTCTGAACCACTTTTCTCTAAGCCAGAGATTAGCAAACTTTTTCTATAAAGAGAGAATTTTGTCTAAGAGGAAAACTGAGGATACCAGGTAGGTGTGTATGTACGTATGTGTATATATAGAAATTCAAAATACAGTAACAACAACTGAGTACAATTTTCCTCCCAATACAGGTATACTAAGGAGAATGTAATTCTTTAGCAAGGATAACATTTCTAACTAACTGGAATTCAAAGTCAGTGCTCCTTATCAAAAATCGACTGCAATGGCCTTATGTTAATGTGGATCAGTGAAATTTTATATATTTCACCCTGCATATTTCCTTTCATACAGCCTCGACACTGCCAAATTTAGGACAGACGGCTTAGCTGAATAAATCAATCCACAAGCACATGATTTTAATGGAGCATGTTCATCACATGGAAGGTATTTTTGGAATTCTATTAGATTCTTCTTTCATATTTGCCTTCCAGTGTGTCATTCCTTTCCATGAAAGTGATTCATAGAAGCTCCTCAGTTTGATATTACTTATACTTCAAATAATGCTGTCATCAGTGACTTGACTGCAATGTAAGTTTTGCATATAAATACTGTTTTGTCTGTAATTTTAGGCTGAATTCTTTAAAAAATATCAAGTCTGTAGCAAAAATTAATTTTCAAAGAGATAACAGTGGTTGAGGCAGTTCTCTCTTAGAAAAATCTTGTTTCTGAGCTAAAACAAAAAAGTATCACTGCTAAGCCCCAGAACAGGTCAGGATGCTCAGTTCCTATTTCTCACAAAAATCAGAGAACTGATGATAGCGAAGTCCACGAGAGGGAATCAAGTTCGCTGCAGACACTACTGGTTTAATAAAATTATGACAGATTGAAATATTTTCTGTAAAGTACCTGCTGATGAGTAATAAAGTAAATGACCACAGGCTTTAGAAGCCTTACACTTTCACAAGCTTTGTAACTTTATCCAGCTAAGCCGTCTTCCTCACACACATCGCTACCACCATTTGCTGCAACACATCTTAGCGGATTCCACCACAGGCTGTACTGATTTTGTGTTTTCTTGACTTCTTTGAAAACACTCGTCTGTAGTTGTTCCAAACTGTTCAAAGACCAATTCTTCAGTCACTTCAAATGTGGCACTGACTCCAAATAACTGAGCAGTATCGGCAAATGCCAACTCATCAGGCGCCAAGGAAAACTGCTCAAATACTCTGCTTTGTGTTCTGACTGTTGACACTGTCCCCACTGTGTTAAAAGCAATCAAAGTCTACTTCTGTTCTGACATGGTGCATAAGTGCTGGTATGTTTTTTAATGTCACAGGACAGTGATAAGTGCGGAACTCGAAACACTGTCCAATGAGAAACGCACCATTGCTACTCGCAGTGCGCCAGGCAACAATCCGAGCCACCGAGCACCGCCTGGCCTCTGCTGCAGCCCCTCGCCTCTGCTGCTGTAGCATAAAGGTGTACAGGCCACACGTAACAAACACAGTGAGCACGGCTGTTCCAACACTATTTATGGACATGGGAAGTTGAATTTTTTGTAAGTTTTAGTTGTCAACAATATTCTTTTAAATTTTTCAACCTTTTAAAAATGAAAATAAACAATGAAAAAGAATTTTAAAAACATTCTTAGCTCACGGTCCATTCAAAAACAGGCAGTGGGGCAGATCTGACCCCTGGGTTTAGTTTGCTGGCCCTGTGGTAGTGTATTTTACAGTCCATTTTAGAGTCTTACAATATATTGACTAGGCTCCTAGTAAGATAAGATACAATCAAACTGGAAAATCATATGAGACAAAGCTTGTACTCATTTGTATAAGAAATATTAAACTTATACTTGCAAAATAATGTTTTTACTCAAAAACTAATAAATTTATTTCATAAAAGTATGTCCTTGGGGCTGGAATGGGATAGGGAGCACAAGAAAGTATTACTTTCTGTTGAGTTAGGCAGGAATTCAGGGCTGAAAAATACTGTGAAACTTAAAACATTTTAATGAATGTGATACTGATACTGTCACCTGATGAGTTCATTTAATTAGAAAAACTGGCCTCATTGATATAACTGGCCTCATTAAAACACTTTTGCCCAGCAATTTTATCCAGCAGATATTCTCACATGTGCAGAACTTGCAAACCACCTAGGCAGTCATCACTGGAGACTGGCTGAATAAATTCACACACTAACATGAAGGAATGCGAGGCAGCCAATTAAAAGAAGGGAGGGAAGAATGGAGATTACGCAGTTGAAGACTGCCTGCCAAGCCTAAGTATGCACTGCAGAGAAACTCTCATACACGTGCGTAAGTGTTCACATCAGCCGTTTATAATCACAAAAAGATGGAAACAAACCTTATGCCAAACAGGAGAATCTATACAGCAGTGAAAATGAGCGAGCCATAGATACACGCATCACACGGGTCAGTCTCCCGTGGAGAGAGAGAAAAATCATAGACTACAGGATGATGTAACTTGTATCAAATTTAAAAACAAGAAAAATAACCCTGTGCATTGTTTGGGGATATGTTATAGATACATAGTAAAGTGCACAGGGAAATGGTAGCCACACAGTTTAGGAATGCAGCTACCCTGGGTGAGGGAAAGAAGGTGTTAGGGTAGAACAACAGACCTGGCAAATCTTAGGCTGGGCACAGATATTTATTATATTTGCATCTTTTTGTACATCTGAAATATTTACAATTTTCAAAAGGTGTCCATCTTCCATATGCACAAAATGTATTTTATTCAGTGAAAAAAGATGCAGTATAAGGTTGTGCAGTATATAAATATTTGTGCATGGTTATGTGTTTTGAAAGAAGACACTCACATATGGACACAAATCATTAGAGCAACTGCCTCTAGGAAACACTGGGTAGGCGGGGCAAGAGGAGGGAATGAGACTTAAGTTCACCAATTACATTTGTAATTGGTACCATGTGCATGTATTATTTTTCCAAACAACAAATTTAACTTCTGTCCTTAACCCAATAGTCCAGTAAGTGTTAAAAGACAGGAAAGAAGGGGAAAATGAAAGAGGAAAGTACTAGTGACTAGAATCCTAAAATGCTGGCATTATGAGGGACTTTCAAGGTCATGTCCTTTCCGACCCCCTCCATGCTGGCAGTGGTCCATTCCTTTCAATGCTTCTGTGAAAGGCTCTGCTGCCTCCTTTAACTTACTCATGTCTAGTATTTCTTTCACAACCCTGTCCTTAAGCTGTTATGCCACCTTCAGCCATCAGTTCTCTATTGATTGCCAGCTGTCTGTTTTTTCTGACACGCCTTCAGGCGTAAGTTGCTGCACAGTCTGATCCACTAAAACCCAGGTCCCTTGTGGGCCAGTCTCTTGTGGGTGGCTTCTTCCCACCCAAGAAGGCGCTTATTAGCTCGCTCTTTGCCTGGTTCTCTCTGTCAAACTTCTGGACAGGCTACAGTTTAGCTTGAAGGTAGCTACCGGTTTCCTCTTAATTGCTTACCACCAAAATCCCAATTGTATTTCACAATGCCCTCACACTTGAACTTCACCAAGCTCTGTCTCAAATCAGTCAGTCCCCTTTGGGAGAGCTGCAGGGCTCTCTGTTCTATGGCCTCCTCTCCCCTGGAGAAAATCTCTGTATCACTGCTGAGGATCTTTGGCAGGGACAGCAGCCTACTTCCCCTGGAGTGACAGCGCTGCTTTATGAGCAGGGCACTGGGCGGCAGCAGCCCTTCATTTTCTCGGCTTCCCTCTCCCCATGCTGGGGCAAGTGATCTGGGGTGAGGGTGATCACGGCCAGGTCTTCTCGCCCTGCTGTGCCTGGGAAGAGCGCCTGCCCTACGAATGGAGGTTTGGTGAAGAAAAGGAGCCTCGAATTCTTAGCTGCTCTGGTCTGGAACAGAGCTTCTGCAACATGGAGCTGGGGAGGACAGAGGCTGGCACCTGTCCTTCCTGTGAGATACCACAGCCCTGGAGTGGGAGTTGGCGGGCCAGGAGCCAGTGGCCTCGCTGCATTGCTTCTATCTCACTGGCCTGGACATTGTGGGTAATGGAGCCAGTGAGGGCTCACATGCCTTGGACTCCTAATGTTCTTACTGAGATTCAAGTATTCATGAGTAAATGTTTTTCCGTTTGCTGTATTTAAAAAAAATAATTTTCACCAGCTGTCGTTGTTCCACTAGGGAGAAAGTCCGTAAGGCCCCTCACACACTTACCTCTTAAGCGGGCAGAGATTTCTATGTTCAGCTGAAAAAAATCACTGCTCTATGTTTCTGATGCACGCTTTTGTGACACGTGTCCTAGGTTTGACAATTCATCAGTTCTCTTCTGGTTCTAAATACATATGAGTTGATGTCTGAGATGGTCTTTATCTCAGATTACTGCAGAGATACTTAATATAGATCTACTTCCTATGCTACTCTCTAATCTAGATTACAACATTCTCAGAAATTAAATTATTGACAGGTAATACGATTAATAAATGTCTCATATACTCTAATTTTATGAATTTTTCTAGAGGTGGGCTAAGATGTAACCCAATTATGAAAATAAACTCCTGTATACACCCAAACTACATAAGAATTAGGGTTAGTGCACAAGCCTTGTAGCAAAAACTGAATGACATTCACCATATGTAAAACTGCTCTAGAGAGAGTTACAAGGCTGTGTCTGTCCTGTGTACCCAAAAAACTAATTCACCAGTACTCTTTTGCCTACCACTAAGAAAAGCATTAATTTGTTTTAAGTAAAAGAAAACACAGTCATTCACTGAGGTGATATCTATCAAGTGACAGGGCCTATGTGAGAGACAACACCCCTTCCTTTCCACGGTGAGCACACAGAACTGAGCCACGATCACACACTACAGGTACACACAGTGTGGTAAGAAGAACAAAAAAGAGGGGCAACTAAACTGGTTAATAGAGGATGAGAAAGCATTCACTAGGAGAAGAAATATCAACTGATCATTTCAGGGGGAAAAAAATAGCCAGATTAGCCAAAGAACATATATGCATAGCCAATGGACACAGACAACAGTGTGGTAAAGGAAGGCCGGAGGTGCAGGAGAAGGGGTGGGT